AGCACCAAAATATATAAAGCAATTGTTAATAGGCACAAAAGGAGAAATAGACAGTAACACAATAATAGTAGGGGACTTTAACACTCCACTTACACCAATGGATAGATCATCCAAACAGAAGATCAATAAGGAAACATTGGCCTTAAAGGACACACTAGACCAGATGGACTTAGTAGATAAATACAGAACATTCCATCCAAAAACCAAAGAATACACACTCTTTTCAAATGCACATGGAACATTCTCCAGGAATGATCGTGTATTAGGTCACAAAACAAGTCTCAATAAATTTAAGAGGATTGAAATAATACCAAGCATCTTTTCTGACCACAATGGTATGAAACTAGAAATCAACTACAGGAAGAAAATCAGAAAAGCCACAAATATGCGGTGACTAAACAAAATGCTACTGAACAACGATTGGGTCAATGAAGAAGTCAAAAGAGAAATCAAAAAATACCTGGAGACAAATGAAAATGAAAATATGACATGCCAGAATTTATGGGATACAGTAAAAGCAGTTCTAAGAGGGAAGTTTATAGCAACACAGGCCTACCTCAACAAACAACAACAATCCTAAATAAACAATCTAACAGTGCACCTAAAGGAACTGGGAAAAGAAGAACAAAGCCCAAAATCAGTAGAAGGAGGGAAATAATAAAAATCAGAGCAGAAATAAATGAAATAGAGACTAAAAATAAATAGAAAAAAATCAATGAAATCAAGAGCTGGTTCTTTGAAAAGATAAACAAAATTGACAAACCTTTAGCTAGACTCACCAAGAAAAAAAGAGAGAAATCATAAATAAATAAAATCAGAAATGAAAGGAAAAATTAAAACGGACACCTCGGAAATACAAAAGATTATAAGAGAATACTGTGAAAAGCTATATGCCGGGGCCAGCCCGATGGCGTAGCGGTGAAGTGCACGTGCTCCACTGCTGGCGGCCAGGGTTCGGATCCCAGGCATGTGCAGATACACCATTTGTCAGGCCATGCTGTGGCGGCATCCCATATAAAGTAGAGTAAGATGGGCACAGATGTTAGCCCAGGGCCAGTCTTCCTCAGCAAAAAGAGGAGGATTGGAATGGGTGTTAGCTCAGGGCTGATCTTCCTCACACACACAAAAAAAAAGCTATACGCCAAAAAGTTGGATAATCTAGAAGAAGTGGATAAATTCTTAGAATTATACAACCTTTCAAAACTGAATCAAGAAGAAATAGAGAATCTGAATAGACCAATCACCAGTAAGAAGATTGAAACAGTAATCAAAAACCTCCCCCAAAATAAAAGTCCAGGACCAGACAGTCTTCCCTGGTGAATTCTACCAAACATTCAAAGAAGACTTAATACCTATCCTTCTCAAACTCTTCCAAAAAATTGAAGAGGAGGGGAAACTTCCAACATTACCCTGATACCAAAACCAGACAAGGACAACAGAAAAAAAGAAAATTACAGGCCAATATCACTGACAAACATCGAAGCAAAAATCCTCAACAAAATACTAGCAAACTAAATACAACAATACATTAAAAAGATCATTGGGGCAGACTGGTGGCATAGTGGTTAAGTTCGCCTGCTCCACTTTCGCGCCCCGGATTTTGCTGGTTTGCATCCTGGGCACGGACATATGCACCACTTATCAAAGCCATGCTGTGGCAGTGTCTTGCATAAAGTAGAGGAAGACGGGCATGGATGCTAGCCCAAGGCCAGTCTTCCTCAGCAAAAAAGAAGAGGATTGGCAACAGATGCTAGCTCGGGGCTAATCTTCCTCAAAAAACAAAACAAAACAAAACAAAATCATATACCACTATCAAGTGGGATTTATTTCAGGGACACAGGGATGGTTTAACATCCACAAATCAATCCACGTAATACATCACATTAATAAAATGAAGAATAAAAATCACATGATCACTGATGCAGAGAAAGGATCTGAAAAGATACAGCACGCATTTACAATAAAAACTCTGAATAGGAGGCCGCTATGGTGGCGTAGCAGTTAAGTTTGCATGCTCCACTTTGGCAGTCTGGGGTTCACAGGTTCAGATCCCTGGCGCAGACCAATGCACCGCTTGTCAAGCCATGCTGTGGTGGCATTCCACGTAAAGTAGAGGAAGATGGGCACAGATGTTAGCTCAGGGCAAATCTTTCTCACATACACACAAAAAAACTGAATAAAATGGGTATAGAAGGAAAGTATCTCAACATAATAAAGTCCATATATGACAAACCCACAGCCAATGTCATTCTCAATGGGAGGAAAAACTGAAAGCTATCCCTCTAAGAACAGGAACCAGACAAGGATGTCCACTTTCACCTCTCCTATTTAAAATAGTATTGGAAGTTCTAGCCAGAGCAACCAGGCAAGTAAAAGAAATAAAAGGGATCCAAATTGGAAAGGAAGAAGTGAAACTGTCACTATATGTGGATAACATGATTTTATATTGAGAAAACCCTAAAGAATTCACCGAAAAACTTTTAGAAACAATAAATGAATACAGTAAAGTTGCAGGATACAAAATCAACATACAAAAATCAGTTGCATTTCTATACACTAACAACGAAGTAGCAGAAAGAGAAATTAAGAATACAATCCCATTTACAATTGCAACAAAAAGAATAAAATACCTAAGAATAAACTTAACCAAGGAGGTGAAAGATCTGTACACTGAAAAATATAAAACATTGTTGAAAGAAATTGAATAAGACACAAAGAAATGGAAAGATATTCTGTGCTCTTGGATTAGAAGAATTAACATAGTTAAAATGTCCATACTTCCTAAAGCAATCTACAGATTCAATGCAATCCTTATCAAAGTTCCAGTGACATTTTTCACAGAAATAGAACAAAGAATCCTGAAATTTATATGGAACAACAAAAGACCCCGAATAGCCAAATGAATCCTGAGAAAAAAGAACAAAGCTGGAGGTATCACACTCTCTGATTTCAAAATATACTACAAAGCTATAGTAACCAAAACAGCATGGCACTGGCACAAAAACAGACACACAGATCAATGGAACAGAATTGAGAGCCCAGAAATAAACCCACACATCTATGGACAGTTAATTTTTGACAAGCGAGGCAAGAACATACAATGCAGAAAGGAAAGTCTCTTCAACAAATGGTGTTGGGAAAACGGGACAACTAGATGCAAAACAATGAAAGCAGACCATTATCTTACACTATACACAAAAATTAACTCAAAGTGGATTAAAGACTTGAATGTAAGACCTGAAATTATGAAACTTCTAGAAGAAAACATAGGCAGTACGCTCTTTGATACGGTTCTTAGCAACATATTTTCAAGTACCATGTCTGACAGGGCAAGGGAAACAATAGAAAAAATAAACAAATGGGACTACATCAAACTAAAAAGCTTCTGCACAGCAAAGGAAACCATC